AAACCAATCGACTTCACGATCTGTTCAAACTACCTTTTTCAAGCAGCCCATTCACAATGCAGTCTGGAGATTGACCACAGTAACAAGCAGACTGTTTCTGGGGAGAGGCGAGCACAAACGGGCTCTATAGCACTGAGTTGAAGGGAGAAATTAAACCAAAGCTAATGTGCATGGAAGAAAATCAATAGAAGAAAGTTAGTTTAGTTTAGTTTAAGGGAAAATCTTTATGTGATGTCTGGAGGAGGGTGACGTGAATTTGTATTACATTTCTCATATTGCAATATTCAATATATAAAAACAAGACAAAATTAACATTAGCCCTGAGGAGATCTGCTCCCTGTGATTCACGGAAACACACAACTTCAAAGTTTCCGTTAGATCACGAAGAAAATCTCAATTTTCTGCCATAAATCTACAACAAAACCGTCCAGTCTCTCCTTCATGTTGATTTTGGCCCTCGTGGCTAATCAGGACGCCATCTTGGCACGAACTTGCCACAGAAAGCCGCCTTTGCCAGCGTCCACCCAGGCTTGTATGGCGGCATTGTCTGTATGCTAAACACGGGCTCGGACCACAGCCTCTCCTCCAGAAAGAAATCGGCCCTTTGACCACGGAAACAAAACAGAAACAGCCCTGGTTCTGGGAGAGTCTGGGATCAGAGCAGGTTTACCACTCTGCTCTATGATAACCAGTTGGACGACCCGAGGCGGCTGCAACATCCCAGATGAAGCCGTACACAGCGGCACAAACGTTTGATCCGAATGCACTTATGCTGTAAGTAGTAGCCCTGCTGTGCTATTAGTGAAGTTCAGGGTCAGCGTTACAGCCACTCCAGCAGCGCAGGCAGGAGGGAAATGCTGCTTTTAAAAGAAGTTTAAATTGAGGTCAAAGTTTGCAGCTCTGGACAGATGAAGTGAAGTTCAACTTTAATAATCCTCATAGGGACGTTCATGGGGCCCAGCGGACAGTGTAAAAGCAGCGTCCAGGAACTAATCCCAGTAACTTAGTGGAGGGTAATACCTAATATTCAGGAATATATATAAATATTTAGTATTTAGTCTGCTGATTACTACTTCATTGGTCTATTGTTTTTTTTAAATAAGTGAGCCATTGTTAAGTTTATAAAATGTCAAAAAATATTAAGTAAATGAGATTAACGTTCAGAGCCTGAGGGGATGTTTCAAATAGATTTTTTTTTTTCCCACTGTAGTTCCCACAAGGATGTTCAATTTACAGCGGCATTTAAAAATCAAGAGAGGAGCGACACATCGTCTCATTTTAAATGGAACCAGGGGCTTTTTCTGTTTTTCCACAGTTTTCCCCATCACACGAACACTGGGAGTAATTTGTGGGGGTCAGCTTCTTGAAATGTTAATAATCATTTGATTGTAAGACAGTTATTATAGTTTTCTCCCATCTCATACTGTTCTCAAGAGTGTTTTAAGACCGATGACATTTTCACACCGGAAAATCTGAACCAAGCTTCACGTCTTTGTTCCTTTTGATCTGGTTTGTTTCTCGCTTTAATTTAGGAAGTGCACTACAGAATTCAGTTTGACATTAGTACATGCTGTCATCATCATCACCTAACTGGTTGGTTTGCAGACAGGCGTGCGTCTGACAGCGTGTCGTCAAGTCGGCTGTTGTTACACCAACTTATTTGAATGATGTGCACGGTAAAGTAGTGTGTCTTTTTATTACTACAAAATGAACATCCTTGTTCAAACATTACATCGTGCGAGGTGAAGACAATCCTGTGAGAAAAGAAATCATCTGGATCCGCCCCTTTCCATCCAGTCATTTTTGTGTAATCCTTCCGACAAACCAACCAACGGACCAACAGACGGGTGAAAACAGGAACCTGCTTGGAGGAGGTCATCAGAAAAATAATGATTCCAGTCCGACCCAGGACTTTGAGCACTCGTGTTATCCACGATGCAGCGGGTGTGTTCACAATCATAATTTCCTACACAGTTGATACTCGAGTACAACCAGCTCCCAGTTCCTAAACCACAACCAAGACAAACTATTCAACCCAGACAACACTCAACCCTGCTGATCTGAAACCCTGGCAGCTCTGCAGGCGTTCAGCCTCCATTTCATGTGCTCAGATACGATCAGCGATCGGCCACACTAATGTGCAAATAGTCCCAGCTTCCCTTTCTTCACCACAACGGCGTTCTGAGGTTAAACAACACCACAGGCCTCCACACGCCAACTCTGCTTTTTGCAACATGGCAGGGTGGCACTGAGCTGAGACAGCATGACGGGATTCTTTAAAAAGGACAAAATACCCAGGGTGTCCTTAAAAACATTTAACCGAGGGCCGGCTGCTGAGCACACCCTGATGGACACGTTTTAGCTGCACAGATGTGCTCGCTCATCACAACACTGGAACAGGATCAGCTTGCTAACAACCAAAAAAGATGCGAAGCAGAAGTGTAACATTACTGCCTCAGCTCAAATTTGACTCAACAAGGGAAATAAATTTGGAAGAAGGAAGTTGCTTCTTTTAGTTTTCATTCATTTGTGCTTCGCAGGGAGAAACAGTCCTGTAATCAACATTGATTTTGTCTAAATGAAGTGTCATCAAACGATGAAGGACAATTCTCTCCACGAGACGTCCAGGTCGGAATATTAACTCCAGTAAATGAGAAGTGAAACTTTAATGAGCTCAAAGAAGAAGAAGCGCAGCAACGATCGTCTGCATATTTGTATTAATCAATTTTGACACGTGCATTTAGCATTACACAGCATGTAGTGTACTGATAATTTGTTTAAAACAGGGTGCGCTGACACAGGAAGCTGCAGAAGTTAAAGTGGGCGAGTGAGAGCGGATGTGCTTTTGGTTTTTAATAGAGACTGACGGATTTATTAGTTGGCTGATGATATCTGGCAAAATGAGCCTTTGACAGACAATATCTGTTTTTTATTTTCCAGATAGGGAAAACTTTTATTCTACAGAATAAACTATGCAGAAAAGATCTGTGCATTTATGTTTATTTATTTATATTTCACGTAAGAAAAATTTGCTTATTTTCTTAATTAAATGCATTTGTGTTTACTTTGTATTCATAGGTATTTATAATAACGTAATTACATTTCTGTGTCATTGGGGTGATAACGAGAATTAAGTTATAACAGAAAATCTTTATTATAAATAAATTGGCCGATTTATCGCTATTGAAAAATTCAGCCCCCCCCAAAAAAATCCAGAATGGTCGAGCTCTGGTTTGTTTGTTTACAAAAGTTTGACCCGCACTGAGCCGCTGCTGCTGTCCTGTTGTTTGGTGAACGACAGTTTTCTGAACCCGTCAGTGAGTCTACTGAATTATATTCACTTCTTTGGCTCTTAACCACCACGACACCTGCTGCATTTCATGTCCTGTGAAGCCAGACGACACCGAACAAGTCAACGACAACAACAAAAAGCCAGTTTGGACTGTGCCCTCATCTGCACTGCCCCCGCTGAGATCTCAGGCAGCTCCCACCTCTGTCCGCTCTCGGCCAACACAACCGTAGACATCACCGTGTGTGGGTTTATGAAATAACTGAATGTAAAAATAAAAGGTTTTGCGTGGGTGACCTGCGAACTGATTTACCTGATTACTCTATTAAAAAACAGCTATTTTAAAGATTATTTAAGAACGTGTACGAATATCTGGTGGAAGCTTTTTCGAAGGTGAGAATTTTAAGACTTATAGGTTCAATTCTGCAAGTCACACAAAATGCAATATGAGGTATTTTATTGGCAATGGGAATTCCTGACTTTTATAGACGACTACAGATTAATAAAATCACCTTCAGCTGCAGCGCTGGCCAATAAAACAATACCAATAATTATCGCAATGTGATTTTCATCTGCAGCAATATAACAGGTTAAATATGAACTGATACACAGAACAGTGAGGAGGGAAGACATATAATGGACAATGCTTTTTGTCCATACGGTCCAGGACGACTCTCACTGTAGCTGAGTACAAGAGTCAAGCTGTACCTTCTACACCTTCTATTATACTGCTGCTCTTGTGTGTATTTATTATTCATCCCGTATTTAAGCATGACGGTTCCACTCAATGACATAAAACAATTCAACTATTAATACAAGAGGGACAAATAACACAAACATAGTAAAACACATTCAAGCTAAAAGAAGAGGCACAGAAACATGAGGTAGAAGAGCCCAGTACTGTGTGTGATTGATATTATAACTTATAGTAACTACACACATCACATACCAGCAGTATTCAGGTTATATACAGACATGTACAGTCTCAACCAGGACAACTGAGCCCTTGTGTTGACAGAAGTAGTGATAGTAGTAGTGGTGGTGGTGGTGGTGATAGAAGTACTGGTAGTAGTATTAATAGTGGTGGCATTAGTAATAGTAGTGGTACTAGTGGTATAAGTAGTGGTGGTACAAGTATTATTGACAGTAGTAGTAGTAGTAGTGGTGGTAGCAGTATCATTGACAGTAGTAGTAGTGGTGGTAGCAGTATTATTGACAGTAGTAGTAGTAGTAGTGGTAGCAGTATCATTGACAGTAGTAGTAGTGGTGGTAGCAGTAACAGTGGTGGTGGTGGTGGTAGTATTAATAGTAGTGTTGGTGGTAAGGTAGTGGTATTAGTAGTGGGTTGGTGGTAGTGGTGATAGAAGTACTGGTAGTAGTATTATTAGTAGTGGCATTAGTAATAGTAGTGGTACTAGTGTGTAGCAGTATTATTGACAGTATTAGTAGTGGTAATATTAGTAGTAGTAGTGACGGTAGCAGTATTACTGACAGTACTAGTAGAAGTGGTAGCAGTATTACTGACAGTAGCAGTAGTGTGTAGCAGTATTACTGACAGTATTAGTAGTAGTGTGTAGCAGTATTATTGACAGTATTAGTAGTAGTGTGTAGCAGTATTATTGACAGTATTAGTAGTATTAGTAGTAGTATTACTGTCAGCGGTGGTCAAGATGTCAAAGCGGTAAAAAGCAGCTCCATCCCCGGACTGTACCTGAATCTCCCTCCGCAGTGCTGGCATTGGTCCCCGACCCAGCCGGGGAAGCACACACAGCTGCCGGTGGCGGCGTTGCACTGGCCGTTCATGCACGGCTTGTCGCAGTCCTTCGCCTCGGTGGAGGCGGGCAGCCCGGACAGCAGCCCGGCGAGCGACAGCAGGAGAGCGGCGGTCAGCATCAGCGGGCTCCGGCCCCGGCTGGAGCCCGAGCAGGCCCCGAACATCCTCTCGCTAAAGATGGCTGCTTTCAGACAGACGCTCCGCTGCTGGTGGGGGCGAGAGACCCGGACGAGCTGCCCGCGGGCCGAGCTTCCGTTGGTCGGGCCCGAGGTACGCGTTCCCACGGAGGTGAGTGTCGGTGTGTTGGCTGGTGTTCGCCGGGGACTCGGTTCACATCTTCCCGCAGGTTCGCTCTCCCAGCGCCGCAACGAGCCGCATATTGACATCCAGAAGTGACGTAGACTGGCGGAAATGCGCAACCGGCGGCGCGGGGGCGCGCAGGGCTTTAAACGTACAAGCCCCGCCCCCTTTACGTGCTAGCCCGTTAGCTTGGCCTCACAGCTGTTAGCATGGTTAGCCTCCGTTTTAATTGTCCTTAATTAATAATAGTGATCACGTCATTTCACCCACGATCAACAGGTTTGGTTTTCAAGATACATTTTTCTTTATTTTTTGTATTTTTGTAATATGTCATAATAATTGTTGATTGTCCTAATATATGTTTAATATAATAATAATACATAAGAATAATATAAGAACTATTTGCACAGCCTCCAGAGACACACCCACCTGTGATCAATAGGTTTAGTTCTCAGGATAATTTTTCTTTTTTTTTTATTAGTTTTTAATATAGTTGTTCATAATTATACTATATTTTCAATATAATAATCATAAATAATAATAACATAACTATTTGCACAGCCTACATAGAAACACACTTTCACCGATGATCAATGTTTGGTTTAGTTTTCAGGATAAACTTTTATTTATTGAATTTTTCTGATTTAATATTTTTATATAACAATTATTATTATTTGCACAACTTCCAGAAACACATACCTTTGCAATATATCTATCTATCTATCTATCTATCTATCTGTCTGTCTATCTGTATGTCTGTCCATCTATCTCTCTATCTGTCTATCTATCCATCTGCTAAAGCTTTTCTGGAGCAATTGAACAATTCTAAGCTCCTTCATGACAAATGAATGTTTGATTTCTTTTGGATTCAAATGTTGAACATATGCTTCCATATTGTGTGTCGGTGCAGCTCGGTTGAATATAAGGACACTTGAGGTCAACAGAGTGATTTGGGGTCAGATATTTACAGTACCTCATAATTCAGCAAGTATTCTATTTGTGTGTATTAAACTACTGTGTTTCTCATGTGTGTGTAAGAAGAACACTGCAGGGTATATAAACACAAGTCACACACACACATACAGTAAGTGTCCCACAAGCTGCAGCAAACATCCCTGTTGTTCTCTAAGACTTGGTGGTTGTTTGCCTGATGATAATAATAATAATAATAATAATCTGCCCAACACCAACCCACAGACTTCACACCAAAGACACAAAACTGTACAAACGGTATAGAACAGTTTATTAAATTTAGACTTGTAAGAAGTCATCATATTCCAACGCACTTCGTCGCAAGAAGCGCATTCATAATAACACCAACCCACAAAGGATTGATCGCGGCATCGGAACATAAATAAAGCAAATAAACATATTTACAGTTCAACGTGGACAGAGAATGGGTTTGTGCACAAGAACACGCAACGAAAACACGTCCAGACGGAGGCATCGGAGAGAGCGAGAGGAGGGATGAGATTTTCCAACGGAACGGTCCTCAGGTAAAAACATACCTGGACAACAGGAGCGGGAGGAGGATCAACATAATTCAACAGAGCCAGAATAACCTACTGTATAATGATATTTACCTGGTTTGAGGGATAAGTACAAAACTTATAGAACCTGCGATAATACACTATTGTCAGTAATGCTGTTTTCAGTTGAAGAGTATTTACTACAGTAGGTGATTTAAGTTTTCTTTCCTCTTGTAAATTAAAAGAAAAGCATGTATTCACTAATTTGTGAAAGAAGGATTTACCCAGAATTCATTCTTGAATTCATTTAAAACATTGAACATTAATTAAACAGATGGTGTCACATTGTCAACACAGGATTTAAGTGACAGTATCTACGTACTGCCCGTCACAAAGCAATGTCTGAATATGCAGGATGAGTTTTCACATTTTCTGACTTGAGGACATGTAATGAACTAAACCCCTTCCCTCCTTTATCGTGGTGGTGGAACAGTGTGTCTGAAACTCTTTTACAACAAGAATAACTCGTCTCCGTTGTGCTGAGTGGACGAACAACAGTTCTGACTTCCTGTATCAGACGCAGTCGAGACTTTACAGTGATCAAAAAACCCTGCAGGATAATCAAAAAACTGCACTTATTTCTAAAAAAAGAGAAAATCCTTAGAAAATTACAATCATTGAAAGCATGTTACAATTAGCAGTGTGAGTGTGTGTCGTTACAAACAAAGGTCATGTGCTCTCCCGGCACTTCTTATGTACATAAAACAATGCTTATGAGGGATCACATGACCAACGTCAGGTCCAGGTCCCCCAGTAAACAAACTAGAGGGGACAAAAAAAAAAACCAAACAAATAAACAGTCTCACTTTCTTCACTAAATGCTATTTTTCCTGGATGGTGGGAGAGCTGCAGACCTCAGTGCTTCACCAGGAGCACCAGCTGGACGAGGTTGGAGCACAGGAGCCAAATTGCAAAAATGTGAGGTGAGTCAAAATCAGTTACTCAAAAGTACACTTAACTGATTTTTACATGGCACTCTGGTTCCACCGCTTCTCCTCTGATGCTCAAAGCGCAGCAACCCCCTCCGCTTGGTTTCCCATGTAAGTGGAAGCACTGAGATTAATTTCAAACAGCTACAAGAGGTGATCTGTCTTTGGAGGTCACACTGTAACATTCGGCTATCCGATAACGTCTCCTCTGTGCCCTCTCTCAGTGTATATCACACTATCTTACAGCTGTCTCGTGAAAAAAAAGGCCATTTACAAGCAACAGCACCTTACAGTATGTACAGGACTGATCAAATGTATCTTCTGGACTTAAAGCAGAAGATATAAAAAGGTGTTTCGCCTTCTATTATGTACAGAGAGCAAAAAGGAGGTGTTTGAAAATGATTGAGCACCTCATTGTGTAAATTTACACACAGATAAACTGTGTCCAAAGTATTGGCTTTAGGAAAACAAAGTCACACTCACCCCTTCACTTTTCTATCAGATACATGCAGAAACGACATGAGCCACAGACTCGGCATTCATCCATTCAGGGGCCGCGGGGCCCCTCTCTAAAGGCAAATCACATCTGATGAAGTGGACTCATAAACTCTTCTCTTCTCTCTCATTATAAAAACACATAGGAAAAAAAGATGGTCTTTTTTTTTTTTGGTCTCCCAAATCAGGCATATTTAGTGTCAGCAACACCGGTTAGTGCTCCGACCAGTGATCTGTACTCGTCACCAGTAGAGACGATCGATCAAAGCATCAAAAGGCCCCTTTGTAGTGTCCTCTTGGTTTTGATACCTGAGGTGTTGTGTGAGTGAATGTTGAGCACAAGCAGCGCGTTGTGACCAGAATCAAATCATATCCAGAACAGCTCTTTAGAGCGTCTGTGAGTCAACTCAGAGGACCAGATGACGTCCGCCATGTTAGAGTGAGGAGAATATCAGTTTAAGAAAATCCCAATATTTCAGTCAGGTAAGTTTGGAGATAATAGTCGAGTCCCCACTGAGCCGCACGCTTCCCATCTGGTGCTCAGAGCCATTTTAAATAACCGCTTCTGCCAAGTCTGGTCTTGAACATTCGCTTTTAAAATATTGTTGCACTCGTAAGTGAGATTAAAATGGTGAATTGGAGTCAGTGTTATGAGCGAATATGTGACAGCATGTGTATTTGCTACGGAGGGTAGGACTTTGTCCTGCTGCTTTGAAGCCACTGAGATAACGTCCCACAAGTTTGTCGTACTTGGCTTCTAATGCAATTCTGTCTGAGCCGGTGTGCGATGGCAGGGGGCTGAGGTGTTTTGCTTGTGTGAGCGGGGGGGGAGGGATGCGAGGACAGGGGTTAAATATTGCATCATGGGATCTTCAGTTACACGACGTCTGGCGTGAGGGGCGGCCCATGGACGAGGCGCTGTAGGTGCGGGAGCGCTGCCTCACGGCCATGCGGAACGGCGGCTCCAGCTCCTGGAAGAGGGGAGTCCCCGTGATGTCAGCTGCCTCGGGACGCTCGCTTGGGCTCAGCGACAACATGCTGCGCACCATACTCAGCTGCACACAGAGAAACCATACAGCACAGTGAGGGCTCTGATCACAGTCGCGCTACAGGAATGCTACAGCTAACATTATCATCCTTTAGTTGAACTTATTCACTTGTAAAAACCACACACGCAACCACGTAATTTATATAATGGAATAATACATCAACACAATCACCCACACACACTCAGAATGAACAGGGCGTCCTAAAATAGACCAGCACACAGCAAGAGAGGAGGGATACTGGGATAACACAGGGAGGGTATCACAGATTATGCTTTGGGATTATGTTAATCTCATTACCAAGTAAACTGGTAAACCAGGTAATGGAAGCAACTGAACAGCAGACACTGGTTCAGTGCCTGGTGTGGTAACAAACACATCTCTGATTATAAATCTTTCGATTTACTTTATTTTCTGTGATTTAGAAGATAAATAATCCCAGCACGCTTCAAATTGGATTAGATCGAGCAGCTTTAACGCCGATGTGTGCTCCACTGAATCCGACGACATGAGGATGAACTCTCTGGATGTGTGTTCACGTCCCGCAGCTTGTTCTCGGGTCCAGTAAATTAAATTCTCCTCTCTTGGTTTAGTTGAAGTTTGCATTCTCAGCCACTAGGTGACAGCAGCGGGCCACTCACCTCCTGGACGTTGTTTTTGGAGAAGACCTCAGGGAAGCGCAGCGCTCTCACCTCAGTCAGAGTCTGGAACAAACAGAACACATGTAAACACCTGTGAGTGGAGCTAATGACGACTCAGGTCCTTTGTTACCGAGATCACAACATCCCGGTCGATCGCACGAGGGTTTTTCATTACGTCTCGCAGGGGCTCTTACCGAGCCCGAAGATAACAGCATGTCATTTCATTTCTAATAAACTTTACATTGTTACTGACATGAAAATGATAATTCAATGGTTCAGGCTAGCTAAATTTTACAATCAGTAAAAAATGAATCCTCAAAACACACGCTCATAATCTTGTATTTGTTGAATTCATCTTTTTAATTTTCACTCCCCACCTCTCCATTTACATATTTTGCTTTGCTGACACAGTCGTTTGTGCAAACTGATGCATATATATTATATTTTAACATAAAAATAATAGAA